GTGTTANAATTACAATTAGCAGTGACTCTTTAACTGTAAGAGAGGGAAATTTTCCATCATTTTTATGTAAAATTTGTGGCAACCAGAAGCTACCATTAATTAGTTTTGCCTGTTTTAAAATATTTTCTTAAAACTTCTTTCATTCCAGATTTCGACATTTGTTTTTAATTATTGGACATTTTATTTCCTTTGTATCTTCATTAAAAATGTGATGTTTTTATTTTTAAGTTATTAGGATTTTATTATCTGCTAATAGTTGCTTTATGTGACTTCTGTTTCATTATTTTTGTGCACAACTCTTTGGTCGTGGAGTTTAAAGTTCTCTAGATCTAAATCAGGAATAGAAACTCCAGAGCTGCAGAGTTTAGATGTTGCATGTTCATTTCTGATGTAAAATGAAGAAAAAACTGAATAAATGAATTATTTCAAGTGTTTCTCTTCATGTCATTTAAAACTCATGTTTTTAGACTCAGTTCAGGGAAAATATCAACTGAATAAACTGAACCATGAATGTCAGCCAGGAAATGCTTTTTTTCAAGTATTGATTTATTTTTCATTTCTGAGGTGAAGAGAAAACTCCATGAGGGAGGTGAAGATCAGGTGAGGAAAAAAACAAAACAATGAATTTATTCTAATTCTACAAACATGTGGATCAAACTGATGAAGATACAATTATAAAATTATATGTGAGAGGAAATTTGATGAGAATTTTATTTCATGATAGTTTATGTTTTATTCAAGGCCAGTTTTTTGTTTTATCCACTCAAGGTATTCACACACATCCATGATTACAGTTGATTGCTGACATGCATAGTCTGCTCCAAAAAAAGAAATCACTCCATAAATCATGCCGTTGTACATCGCTGCTCCACCAGCGTCAGCCTGTAGAAAAATTTATATTTATTTATGTTGTAAAACAAAAAAGTCTTCGAATCGCTGCAGAGAGATATTGAAGAAACAAACTTACATAGCATATATCCTTGTTCGGTGCTTCAGTAAGGAATATATGCCCACGTGTCTGCAAGAAGGTGGAAACAGCAACAACTTTCATGTTGACACACTGAAGATGTGATGGAATAGCAGAAGCAGTTACTGTAGAGAAACATGAGAATCATAAACATGTTCTTCACTCGACCTGTAGAGACAAAATCAAAGATTTTATTAACATAACTTCAATATTTCTCTCACATCGCTCATTATTGGGGCCGGTTGTCGTTGCTCCCTCTCCTGCCAGCTGAACAACATCGCCTCTAAAACACAATAAGAATAAAATGTAAAAATACAAGATAACAATGTAGAAAATTGTTATGAAGAACAATGAAAGAACATAAAATGAATCCATGAAGGACTTCATCCACTGACACAGGAGTGTCCACCTCCAGTCCTCAGTGACGGTGTCCTGTATCCTTTACATGCGTCTCTGGTCCAACACACCTGAGCTAAACAGGTTCTGGTTCTGCTGGTGGCCTGATTAC